ATTTTATAAGACAGTATATCCAGTTTCGTACAAGGTTCAGGAGAGCCCCCCCCCCCCCACCCCCCCCAACCCCCTAAAAATGTTTAAAAAAACAAAACACCTTTGCCCCCCAAAAAACAATCGCTTTGAATATTTATTAAGAAAGGGATACCAGGCTAAGGGAGAAATGTGCCCCGGACTTTAAAAAAACGAGGGGGAACAATAACTCAATTTTCTCCAAAACTGGATGCATTTGCTTTTAAAATAAAGCTCCAAAACATTATCGCGCATTTTGCACTTTTTAAGGGGGGGGGGGGGGGAAAGTGGGGAAGCCTGTTTCTTTTTCCCCCAGAGAGAAAAATTTGGTATGTTCTTTTAAAAAAACCCCCAACTCACAAGGCAAACAAAAGTTGGGGGAAAGGACTTCTTTTTAAGAACGAAGCCGTTGTGCGCAGGTTTGGGGAGGGGCCCCCCCCCCCCCCCCCCCCCCCAACCCCCTAAAAATGTTTAAAATAACAAAACACCTTTGCCTCTCAATAGACAATCGCTTTGAATATTTATTAAGATAGTGATACCAGTCTAAGGCAGAAATGTGCACCGTACTTTAAACAATCAGGCGGAATCAATAACTCAATTTCATCCAAAACTGGATGCATTGTCTTTTAAAATAAAGCTCCAAAACATTATCGCGCATTTGGCACTTTTTAGGGGGGAAGTGGGGGAGGCGTGTATCTTGTACACCAAGAGTAAAAGTATGGATTGTTCTTTAAAAAAAGCTCCAAACTGACATGCGAAACAAATGTTGTTGAATAGCACTTCTTGCTACAGACCAGATACAGAAAATCCACCCTCACAAGGGTAAAGGGACACAGGCCTTTGGAAATTGTCCAGACTTTGGAAAGCTGGCTCTTTTTCAACTCCCAGATGTAATTAATGTAGGAGGCAGTATCTTCGTTTTAACTACCGTATAGATAGAATGTACAAGCTTTTCGATTTGCCCTCTTTTGCCCTCTTTCACCTTAAAGAACATCAGGGTGCAATCAATGGACATCCAAAGTAAAATGTAACTCTGCACTCCAAAGGCAAGCGACGCAACTGCATATTTCATGATTTTGGAAAATCGAAAAAATATTTTAACACTTATTATTGTGATCAGTCACTTCCGTCGTAGCTTTGCCGCTTTGAAAACTACTATTTCAGATGTTTGTAGACACGTTGTTATGCCTTGCACACAAAAAGATTATAATGGGCAAGACTATTTTTTTTTAAACAATACCCCCCGAAAAAAATAACTTATACGCAATGTGTTGAGGGGACATGTCATTGTCGAACGTGGGTCGGGTATGTTTTCTTTTTTGGATCATCATAATTGTGCCTTTGAAGGATCTCTTTGACTCCATCAATCTGCGAAGGGGAGTCAAAAAGTAATGCTAGTTGTTCGTTATTTTGCACAATTGTACAACAAATTTAATGAAATTCAGTTCGCATGTACTTGCTCATATACTTTCGAACTCAAACAGTTAACATTAAAGCTTCTTTCATTTTGGCTGTAATGACGTCACATCAAAATGACTTCCCTCTTGGAGGTCTATCAAAGGTAAAGAGCGTGATTGAATTTCTTGTTTTAGAAGGAGAATCCACCGTTAACATCCAAAAGAGACTTCAGAATGGTTACAAGGACCAAGTTCTAGATTTTGTCACTGTATATTCTTGGGTCAGAGGTGTAAGCAATGAACCGGTAGTAGAGGAAGAGGTGTCTATGTGCTTGTCAGACAAGCATCGTCTCGAGGAGACAGCCGGAAAAATCATGGCAATTGTGTTTTGGGATGTTCATAGCGAGCTTCTGACAGATTTTTTTAAAACCACGATTCTCAACTGTCAATTCTGAACCCTACATCGAAACATTGAAATGACTGAAAGCGAGAATTTGACGAGTCAGACCAAATTTGAACATGGAGTGTTTTTTCACCATGACAATGCCGGCCTGCTTTCGAGTACCAGAGCAAGGGAGACAATCACCCCGTTTATGTAAAAAAAACACTGCCACACCCAACTTATTCTCCTGATTTGGCTCATTAAGACTTCCACTTTTTCGGTCCTAGAAAAGAACCATTGAGAGGTCAACACTATGGAAAGGATGGAGAAATCAAGACTGCTGTACCCCTAAGACAAAACCTGCATAGTTTTAGGCAGCAGGCATATGTGGACTTAGTAAATGGCGGACTGTGGCTATTGAACGAGATGGAGACTATGTTGAGAAATAAAAGTCTGATCCTCAGATGCTCCCCTTCAATTTGAGGTATGATAGTTGCAAGTGTGTTGTTTTTTTCTTTAAGTTATAAACGAACTTGCATTACTTTTTTATTCACCTGGTATATTTTTCTTGCCTTTCATTTTGCTTCAAGGACATCGAATCTCATGTTGTAGGCCTACCCACTAGACAAGGCTGCAACATGTTGCCTACAGTGTCATCATCATCATCATCATCATCATCATCATCATCATCATCATCATCATCATC